GAGCACGATGTTGAAACAGGTCCGTGTGTAAGAATATCTTCGCCAGAAATGCGTTTGCTGACCACAGCCATCTCTCAGGAAACGTGTTCGTTTGTTGTCATGTGACGTCAGTCGTGACGTTTCACGTGACCCGCGTGACGTTTTTGGTGGAAACAAAAGACATGCGCAGTGACCCTGCGCACTGGCGCAACGATCATCTTTTTCCACGGCTGCCTTTTCTAATGGCACACCGGTATTTTTCGCTGTTTACCAAGTTTCCCAAACTGTTACCGGTTTTTCAAGTTATCGGTGAGCAAGAATCAGTGACCAGGGCGGTGACAAGGATCAGTCACACAGGTTCTCTGATTTTATCATTCTGTTACAGCGTTGCGCTGGAAGCATGTGACATTCAGCACAGCAAATAAAACGTATTTAAGTAATAAAAACAAATATAAATCTACAAAAAAACTTCTCATTTCGCCGATTTGTAACAAGCGCTAGTTCTTAGAGGAAATTTCATCAACTTAAAGGAAATTGAGAGCAGTGGAGGCCGGAGGGGAATTATGGTGCGGAAGAATATAGGGCACGGTCTATCCCGGTTTAGCCGGTATTTTTCGCTGTTTACCAAGTTATCCGTGAACAAGGTGACAAGGATCAGTCACACTGTGCTCTCATACTTAAGCGTCATGGCGGACGGGTGTACGATCAGGGATACTATCGAATCAGATCTGCCGCATATCATGAAATGGTGGGCAGGGGATTTTCAGGAAGACTTCGCGCTTGAGACGCTTGAGATCATGGTGAACTACGGAGAAGGCGGTGGAGCTTCCACGGCAGTGTTACCCAGCGGGGAACCAGTAGGTTCGTATATATACGTTCTAAACATAAATTATACCTCGTAGAAGCATAGATATAGAATAAACAAGATAGCAATATAGAATAACCGTTGCGGTGGAGTTGGCTATCTTTGTTTATTCTATATCTATAGTAGAAGCTGATTTTGCGGCAAACTGCCAGGGATGATTGCTCTGTGGCAAGCTACGCGATCAATGCAAAACGTACACAATTATAAGAAGATGGTGATCACTAGATCTGGTATCTGTTTGCAGGTTTTCTGAACTGTGATGTAGTTGGTGACGATGCCTTCTGCGGTCACTTCATAGTACGTAGCGACATGAGACGGAGAGGAATAGGAAGTATGTTACTGAAGCGCATACTTGAGCACGCCGGCCACCGTAACATGGGAATTAACTCCATGATGTACCGCGTAGATCTTTATAAGAAGATCGGATTTACGACCGAGTCGTTCATTACTACCTCACGGTACTGCACCGTCGATCACGCCAAGCTCGCAGCATCCCTGAAGCTGGAAGATGATGCTAATATCATAGTGAAGCCATACAGCGAGGAGATGCTGCAAGCTGTACTCGACTACGACAAGTCCATCGCTGGGCACGACCGCGGAGACTATCTGCGACCCTACATACAGGCCTATAAGAAGCTGACGTTTGTAGCGACAGATGCTGAAGGCAAGGTCACGGGTTTTGTTATTGCCACCAACATGGTCGGCAACATAAATTATAGCATCTTCCCACTCTATGGTGACACGGAGCAGGT